CGGCCGTTCAGAGCTGTGGCCGTAAGGTCTCCGGTGCCTGTCGTGGTGGCAATCCTCAAACCCGGTGGTGGACACCGGAAGTAAGGGATGCCCTCAAGCTGAAGAAGGAGTCCTTTCGAGCCTGGTTGGCTCGTGGGACTCCTGAGACAGCTGACGGGTACCGGCAGCCCAAGCGGGCTGCAGCCCAGGCGGTTGCGGAGGCAAAAACTTGAGTCTGGGAAGAGTTTGGTGAGGCCATGGAGATGGCCTCACTGATGGCGTCACAAATTGATGCCTCTGTGTCAAATAACTTCTAATCCATTTCAGAACCATTCCTCTGATCCCATATTTATTAAGATATACAAACAGATATATGCTCATAAGCACCAATGTGGTACTGTGTGTGTCTGGAAATCAAATCTGGCTGGTGCTAGAACATTCCTGTCAGGGGAGAAGTGCCAAACAGATGTGTACACACAGAGTCAAGCTTGATCAGCATGTACATACCTTAGTGCATGCACAAGCAATTGAGTGATCGACCCATGTACTGTACACTATTTCGGGGGGAAAAAACACCCATTTGGTGGCTTATGTCAGCGTATAGGACAAAGTGAGAGAGAAAAGGAAACAAAAAGAGTGGGGATAATGAGAGAAAAAAAGAAGTGAAAAGAAACAAACACAGAAGACAGTTAACAACCTGAACTGGAGACTGAAAAGATAACTGATATTCTTTTATTATCAACAAATCATATCCAACGAAAAGACCAAAATCAACAATGCTTTGATTCCACTAACACTACTGGCTGTGAATCCAGGCTGATACAGTATAGCTCATTTCTGTCATACACCTTTAATGCTGTCTAAAAAACATTAACTCAGCAGTGAACCACAATGTTGCACAACTGCCTGATTGCCATGAACATAAGCACTGTGGTTTATTCTGAGTCAGTCCCACACATACTGTAACAACCTGCTGCCATAAGGACTCACTTGTGTATCAAATCTGCAGCTGGAAATAGTCCCTAATAAATGTACTATTTACTGATGAATGAATGGGCTTATGGTTGAGAGCCACAGGCTGGGAAAGTTGGCCAGTATCAAAAGATGGATGTAGACATTAATTTTTTGTTTTGTTTTTTTGTCTATTAATAAAATGACTTAAGAAAATCAAACGCAGAGGATATAGCCAACAATATGCTATGTTAGCTGCTGAAGTTAAATTATATGTTAACACGTATGCTGCATTGTCGAGAGCATCTTGACCAGCTGCATCACTGTCTGGTACTGCTATGGACCGCACGCGCCTGCAGAGAGTGGTAAAGACTGCGGAGAAGATCACCAGGACTCCACTGCCCTCTCTGCAGAGCATTTAGCACCGCAGGGTGTGTAGGAAAGCTGCCTGCATCCTCAAGGACCCCACCCACCCAGCACGGACTGTTCATACCCCTGCCCTCCGGTTGGAGGCTCAGAAGTGTGAAATGCAGGACTTCTAGACTGAAAAACTCTTTCTTTCTGACTGCAATCAAACTCCTAAACAGCTGACTCAGGATCTACCTCATGTAATTCCATCTGTACTGTTTACATACTCAGTTTGCACATGCATAATTGCACACTCACTGCTGAGTATTTACTTATATATATATCTGTGAGGCACATTTAAAGAACTGACAGCACTCATGTCTTTCCAGAGTCATGAGACTGTCAGGTTTGCCCTGTACTGAGCATTAGAAATGTGAGTACAAGCTACTACCTGATGATTATATGTTTAAGTTACATTCAGAAGCCCCTTTATTAGGTACATCTGTTAAAACTCCCATGCAATTCAGTACAAGAATTCAACCATAAATTCTACCTTTCCAAAGACTGCAATGTTGAGCTTGGCTGACACTGTCAGAGGGGTAGTCATTTAACCGTGTTTATCACACAGTTGGTCTTAGTGTTGTACTTTGATCACATTCAATTTTACAGTTCTAATAACTCAGTAAAGTGGTCACACACTGTAGATTTCCATTAAAAGCCATCTCATTGATAAATACTGTATGTTAATTTACACTCTGTTTCCCATCTCTGAAACATGGAGAGATTAAGAGAGACTGAGAGCTTAAAAGAGACAGTCGGTCAGTAAAGAAATATTATGACAACATTGCTGTCTGTGCCATTTGTGTTTTTAATCAGTCATCTGGTGCAAAAGCCCAAACATACATTCAAGTTCCTGACATACTGTAGGCAGTAAAATTAATTCTGGTTAATAACATTTGTGATCACAACACTATAATCTTTTGATTATGGTAAGCCTTTTAGCAAAAAATATAAGATCATGCAGCCTCACAACAATTAAGTCAGCCTCAGCCTGCCACAGTGAAATACTATCAACGTAACAAAAAGCTCATATCTCTTCTATAACTAATATTACTATTATTAGTATACATTACAGATTATTATAGGCTGCTGCATAAATAAAAACAACTACAAGAACTCACCTGCTGCAATTAAAAGGCTGAAAAGTGTTAGAATGTACAGAATGTTTCACTGCCTGTAGATTTGATTTTCAGAGACAGACATTTTTGCTACATGAACAGTCAAACAGTGGCAACAGCCTGAACAAAGCACTTTTCTGGAATGGGTGCTGTATGAGAGAAAAGCTCCAGGTCCCAACTCTGAGTGACTCCACACCAACTGTATGTTTTGTGGAGAATGTACCTGTGGATGCAGCTGTCTGAGTGGCCATTTAAGTGCTCACATAAGCCTGCATACGAATGTGCTCAATTTTGGTATCAACTCCACATCAGGTACACAGATCACAGAGAAAGAGAAGGGGATAGGTGCTGCTCTCAGGAAGACAAAGTAAGAGAGAGAGGACATGACAGGAGAGGATAGAGGAAGAGTCAGAAAATATGAGATCACAGTGCCAGAAAGTAATCAAACAAACAGATGCCAAATGAGACTCAAGTCAGTGGGTTGGACCGGCAACTCTCATAATATGGCTATAACGCTGACACATTATCCTGCTCAGGTCTGACATAATGTCTGCTTTACACTGCTTTGATAGAGCAGGTGACAAATTACAGATGTGTAGATGTGTAGAGAAAAACACTGACATCACAATGTATGGTGAATTTGAATCTATATATTTCATGTATGGTTTGGCTATTCCACAAATCAAAACACAGAAATCACTTTGCACTTCCCATCCTTGTCTACAGATACTATTCTCAATAAATAAATAAATAAAAATGTCATTTTTCTCTGGATGGACTGGAGTCCCAGTAATGCTGCTATTACATTATGTTGGTGGGAACTTGACAGAATTTGGTTTAATGCTTTCCATTACATTCATAACAGAAACCAAAGCCTGCCTGTTATTAAAGAAGCATAGTTCTGTAGCCGGATCTTACCAGTTCACTCTGGAGCTTGAGAATCAGCTCATCTTTCTCCCTCAGTTGTTGCATCAAGGCCTCCTCTCTGCCAAGATCCTAAACACAAAGACACTATGTTACTCATTAGTCAGGACACTGCAGACAAGAGTGAGTTGTCTATAGGTCCATATCCCCACAGAAGCAATACACAGAGACTAAGAGCATGACAACATACAAAGGTGTTTGTTTGTGTGTGAGAGACAGAGATTTTATGGCTGTTTCCATAAATGTTTACATACTGTCTGTTTGCAACAGAGGTGGGAAGCAACAAAGTACAAATATGTCATTACTGTACTTCAGTAGATATTTCAGGTATCTGTACTCTACTTGAGTATTTATTTTTCTGACAACTAATTACTTTTACTCGCTACCTTTAGAAATGTCCTGAATGGCTACTTTTCACTTGTATACTCCGACTACATTTTGCCATCTCTGGTTTGCAACAGTTTTATGTTCATTTGAGTGTATTTATTGCTTGTCTTGCTAGTGTGTGTGTGTGTGTAAGTATAATAAAGTTGTCATGTAGTGCATGCTGCAGGACTGACTCTCTTTGTCTCTTGGTGATAATACTGGTGTTTCATATGGTGGCACCCCAGAGCACAAAGCACTTTAATATGACCTTGTGCCGTTGGGGGACATGGGGAGGAAGGAGATGAGCACAAGAAAAAAACTGAAGAGGGAGGTGAATAATAACAATAGAAACATCTTACGGCACTTTTCAAAACTAGTTTTACAGCAAAAAAGACACATTACAGATGCTTCCTAAAACGTTTTGATGTTCATGATGTATGTGGACCGTGCTTGCGAGTATAATTACGCTGCAAAGATGAATTAACTTTGTTTGTTGCATTCATCCATTGCATATATTAAGCTCCTTAAACAAAAATATATGACATGAATTTTGTTTTCAAGTTTCTGAAGTGAAAAAGCCAACATTTAAGTCTGCCAACCTGATTTTCACTGTCACCAATTTCCAAACCCCAGTCAACAGCCAAGCTGCCAGAAGATCTCAGGCTCCACACTGGTTCCAGACCTAGTATTTGTCATTGAAATTTTCAACTTAAGTCTAAAACAAGCAGGCAGTCAAAAGAGTGACACAGTGAGAAGGAGAGAAGAAAAGGTAACGTGAGACAGAAAGACAGAGAGAGAGAGAAGGAGCGATAAGATGGTGAGAACAAAATGACAGACAGAAAGTCATTACCTCTTCAAGGACATAACAGTAGAAGGAAAAAGGGTCAAGATAACGGGGGAAATGAAGGGAAATGTGAAGAAAAGGGGACAGTGATAGAGAGAAAGAGAGGATGAAGAAGGCCCGAGGCTGAGGTCTGAAACTGTGGGGAGTCATCTCCAGTCACTACAGACTGGGAGTGAGAGGGAGACCACCAGGGAAACATACAGCTGCAACACTGTCCTCTAAATGACCTCTCTGATGCAAACACAAGCACTGCTATTCCTCAAATCATATTTAAAAAAACATCAGAAATGAAAAAAGTAATCTGCACAGTACACAAATGTCTTGTATCATAATTGTTACAGACTGTACAAAGCTAGAAATGGGTGGGAAAATCATTTAAAAAAATGTGTTTAAACTGTTACAGTGGCTGCATGATGAAGGCACTTGTTGAAAGGAGAGAGAAGCTGATACAGTTCACACTCAGGTGCACTCAAGCCTAGTGTGTTTTATGAGCTGTGATTGGATGGAAAAGCAAAATAATAGCATCTTATCTTGGAACCAGAAAAGGTTTTCAATACAAAACAAACAAGCAACACTTTCTTTAATACATTTTCATAGTGACTTGACTTGAATGATAAGACTGGAGAACGTTTGGAAAGACCAATATACTGAAGACCTGCAATGTGTCTGAAAACGTTTCGATGGGTTGTGTCATCTGGCTCCCTAATTTTAAGGACTTTTACTAATGCTGGTGTTTTGGGGGGCTTGAGCTTGGCTCAAGATAATCACCAGGGAGGACAAAGCCAAAAGCTTTCAGTGCTTCCATTTAGATAAAAGAATATCCTTCCCAAGAAGAACAATTAACAAAAACAACACAGTGGTGTTGAATCAGAATGGACTATTTACCTGGCTTTACAGGGGGGCAACTGGTATTTATAGATAATAAGGAGTAAGTTTTTCCTACGGCCGGAACACACACAAAAAGAGCACAGAAATTACTAACATCAAATCAGAATGGGACAGAAAAATCACTTACATGCTGTGATAATTACTCCATTAGTCGGCCTCTAAAATTAATCTCACCCGACTAGCACTGAGGGGTGCTCTAAATGAGCTGTCTGGCTGCAACTGCACAGTGTTTTTGCTTCTGTAGTCTGTGTGTGGATGACTGTACATGTACATGAGTAGTTGTGTTTTAAATGTTACGTGCAGGCCTATGACTAAACGCATGTAGAGTTTATTGACTTAAAAGAAAACAATAAGAAGGTGATGGGTGTAAGGATAAGAAAAAGGAGAACGTTAACGTACTTCAAATAGGCCAAGCAGTGTTCAGTGTCAAGGACATGCTCATATGATCCCAATGCGGTGACCTACAATTCAAAAAAACATGTACTGGCCTAACTTTGTAGTCACTTGGCTCAAATACCCACTGCTGAGCATGTACTACCCTACAAAAATCATTTCAAAGAGGAGAATATTACCAAACCTTAAAGGAGAAGCGGGATTGTGCTTGCTGAAAGCAGCAACACAATGTGCATCAAGTCCAACCTTTTTTTTTTCCTTGCAAGGCTTAATTGAATGAAAAAAAGCTGTGGAAAAAAGATGGGGCATGTGAATTAATTTTTAATGTCACTGGAACTTGATCAAAATTATTGGAGTGTATCCACTTTGTGATTTTGTTTAGCAATAGTGGCCACTCTATGCTTGCAATCAGCAGCCAGTTAAAAAGGGTATTGAGATTTACATTCCCACTGTTAGCAGAAGTGATCCAATTTGTTAACTTTGTTGAGAAACACACTTGAGAAAATGTGAGGTTTATTTCCCCCTTCCTTTACTATAGAGTGCTTGAAAAATATCGAGGAATTCTTTTCCCTTTGTGAGGTCATCTCTTGGAAATTTCTTGCTAAGAACGCTAACCCATATTATTATATTACATACAGTACATGTCTTCCTAAATAAACCTCATTTATACAAAATTACTTTTTGTGTCAAAATTACATTGTACTTTATTACCTCTGACTGGGAGTGTAAAGGTACATGTATTCATACTAAACCGTTTCGGTACAGGACTCTAGGTTTGTGCAGATGTTTACCACAATCTTTAATAGTACCTAACAGTTGGATTGTTTTGCAGCTGGAACATTTATTTTGATTCGCACACAAACATTAAATGATGGAGCGCAATAAACAGCACACATGGCTTATAGAGGACTACAACTGCCATGGAAATAATAATAGGAGGTTTAATATGAGATTAAATGTCATTTAATCGGACAATAACATCAGAAATTAACAAATGATTTTATTGATTTATGTTTTAATAGGCAATAAAAGGTGGAATTATAAAAACTAGCTTAGCCAAGCCTCTGGCTAGCGAGACAGAGCAACTAGACCCTCCCTTTTCATTAGGGTCTCCTGTTTGGAAACACTTCAGCTTCCAGGTGCAATACAACAACGAACACAGACAAGCAGATAAGATGCCTTATTAAGGATAAACTTCATTTGTTTATTTTTTATTGCTCTCTGGTTCAACACATGGTGAACGGTTATCTTTTTGGCAACACGTCAAACTCATTTGAAACGGTTTAATACAGACTTCTGTGCACCTGGATATATACTGGACATGACAAGCTGTGACGCTGTTATCCTCTTATATAAACTGAAGGACATGTTGTGTCTGGTGAACAGATCCTCTACCAGACTGATCCAATGGCTTAGAGAATAAAAATAAAGACTGACAGGTCACATTGAAACAGTTAGTGTAACCTATCAAACCAGTTCTGTAATATTTACACTGTTTAAAACAGAAACGAGATATCACCTGCCTAGACAGTGTAAAATGTAATAATACTGTAAATTAAACTGTTATTAGGATGTTTTACTGTGAATACTCAAAGCTGAGAGTTGTGGTAGCAGAACTAATATAGATGATTTCTGAGGTACTGCTACATCCTCTTAAATCTTTTTTGGTTGTCAGTGCTCACTCCACAACCCCGTTAGCAAAGCACAAATTATGAGTCATGTTTTCCTCTTTATAGCAGGTATCATGGAGAGTTATTTTAGAAACACAGCTGTTTAGTGTTAGTTAGCCTGGGGTAGGGCAGTTAATGTGAAACGTTTTGGTCTTCCTTTTAAAGCTCTACAAAATTTCATTTGATATTTTCATATTGAGTCTAAGAAAAAATTACTGACCTAAGATGTTTTGCTCCAGACCTAACTGACTTCCTAGGATGTTGGCATAATGAATAATTTAAGATGTAAAAGGCCTATTGAGATTCAGCTATTAAGGTTTTGATTTTATCACAAATTCTCATATCACAAAACAAAAAAAGCGGAATTCTGAACCCCCACAACTCTTCTGATCACCCCTCCCTCTCTTTGTCACATTAACACACTTCAGTTTGTGACAGTGTGTATGAGAAACTGGCCATGGTAGTTGTTAGTGTAAAGCTTGGGCAGAAAGGTTTATCTAAAATAATAAAGTGGGAAAGAGAAACAGATGGAGAGAGAGATGAGATTGGCAGACTGTTTTGTGCTACTACTTTATTGAAATTAACATTTTGTGTATTTTGAAATATAAACAGTATGTGTATGATGTGATAGCCTGTGATGTGCTGACTGAAACTTTTATCTTTACTTGTAGTTCCCCATGTCTGAGGAAAGAAAGGTGAATGTACACAAATGTCAATTAATCTGGTACAAAAATTGTCCTAACTTTATTTTCTTTCTTTATTATTCATTTATTTTACCTAAGTCTCCTAAAATACAGTAGAACACTAACTGGGACAAAATCTGGTAAAAATCATGTCATATGCATTCGGTCTAAATTAAACTAGGACAGACTGTGACACTGCAGCCTCTCAGGTGGTAACTGCAGATTATTTTTACACCCACAGTCGCTTTCTGGAGTGCCAGGGCAAATGCTCTTCTTTTCACCCCTCCCTCAATCCCTCTTTTACTTCTTCCCCACCCTTCCCTCTTTCTCTAACATCCTACTCCTCAAACTCTTTGTTCATTTTTGCTCCTCCATCTCACATACTCCTGTATTCATTTTCTCCTTTTACTGTTAGCTTAACATCACCAAACTGAAGGCATTCCTTTTATATGCACCTCTACTGTAGGTTTCACACTTCTCCATCATCCCCTCTCTCCTCACTCCATCTTATATTTAAGTTGAACTGTGTGCCATTCTCAGCACTGCACCTATTTCCTCATATTTAGCTCCTCCTCATGCAATATGCCCTTTCCATTTTTATGTTGTTGCTTTTTTTTCTACTGCCTCCAGCTCTGT